TTTTTCTTGTGAAATGGTAGAGAATCTTTTTGTGAAGGTAATAAAACAAAAAGTACGAAATTTGATGGAAAATTGACGAAATTATGCTCTCGCGAATTTTGATGTGTCAGCGATATTTACGAATCGGCGATTTTGCCGACTTTGACTCCCATTTTAGGCCAATTACATTATTCCAGTCAACCAAATTCTTAGCTATTTCACTAGTATTACTTCTATTCTATCGATTGAACACAAGAAATCGCCAAGTCAACTGTTTCAACTACAAATTAAAGTGATCGGAAATTGTTAATTTGGCCAATTTAACACAAAGTTCAAAATATTCCAATTTCAAAATAGGTCCAGAATAACAATGTAGGTATTCCTGGAACTAAACTAACATTTCCTCTGTTCATTAGTTTACGTTTTGAGGCTTTACAAATAAATTCCATTTTCATTTTTTATTCACATATTGAATTTTTTATTCCCCCAAAAAAATAGAAGATTTACGGGTTATGAAAATACGGTAAAAATTTGGTAAAAATATCATCCCAAAATTTTTGTGAATGCATATTAGCCCCACCAGCTGGCGTGTATTAGATTTTGTGTTGTCGTTTTTTTACCCTTAAATATCGGAAAAATTTTAACTTTTCCCGCTACTTTGAGCTTGTTTCAAGCCATTCCATTGTGAAAACCAATAAAAAATCATCTCTATTTCTGTAATATGTTTTCCATTCATCAAATGAGACCGGGGAAAAATCACAAATAGAACATAAAAAAAATACGAAAACACTGCAAAGTCGTGTTTTTAAATCAAAAAAATCATGTTTTCCCAAGTTTTTTTTCTTCTTAACACAGCGTTTTTGCGGTCTTTTTTTTATGTGGGGCCCCCCAAAACACTAGATGTTTTTCTTAATTTTTTGGCCCAAAGGTCCACTCACAGTTTTTTTCAAAAGTGAGCGAGCTCATACGTAATCTAGGGTTTGGACCCTAAATGTAAACCCGTAGATCACGGGACGGACCCTAAAAGGGTTTAAATAGGGGTATTTCCCACCTTTTTTGATTTCTTTTTTTTTTTACTCTCTCTTGCTTTCGTTCTTCAGTTGCTTTCCCTCCACGGGCATAGACTTCCCCTAGTTTTGTTCTACCGGATTACATGACAGCGATCTTTTTCCGTTCATTTTATTCTCCTTCCATTCACCCCCTTTTCCGTAGCCCTCGCGGGCAATTTAAAGGGGAAAAATTGGGTCTTTACTCAAAACCTCACTGTTTTTTAGTGATTTTTCCTTCTTCATCTTCCTTGATGACCCCTTTCCATCTTCTCACTTTCATTTAATACCGCAGCTTTTTCCTTTTCCCTACCCCCCAAAACCCTTTCGGGCAGCATTCTCAAAAAGTGCGTCCCTTTGGGTGGTCTCCGCTTGTGCTGTGCAGAAACTTTTAAAAACGGGCGCTTGGGCAGGTCCCGGGTTACAATGGAACTGCGGGAGAGACTTCTTGTTTTTTTAAGCGAAGCGTGCGCCCGCTCCCCCCGGGGTCTCCGTGAACAAAACCCTTTTTGGGCGGGGCCCTTTGTTTCCACCATCCCCCTTGCTTCTTTTTTGGGGGTGCAGTCTGGAAAAAAGTGGGGAAAAGGAGGGGGAAAATACTCCCCTGACCGGCTCCGGTTCAAAGGGGCGCTGGTGTTGATGTAAAAACCCCCTCTCAAAGTTCCCAAATTGAATTTGGCACAAAAATCTGGTCTGTATTTCCCGGGGGCCCTCCATCTTTTCCCCCTGTTTCTTTCCTAAAAATCGGGCCAGGATTTTGAAACCCCTTGGGCCCTTTTCTTCTCTTAGAAAAGAACATTAATGTGCCTTTTACACTTCAAGAATGGGGGCAAGGGCTCTCAGCTTGCCATCTCGGCACGGGGCCCTGAAAACTTTCATACCCCGTATTTACAACATTTTCATCGGGCCAGCCCTTGTATTTCCCTTTTACACCTCTTCAATCTTTTTTTGGGCCCCGGGATTTTTCCCCCAGCTGGGGAAAAAACTGCCATTTTTTCCCCCTTTTTCGGGGCGAACCGGGTACTACAGGCCCTGATGCCTCCCACTATGCCCCTCTTTTCCTTTTTTTTTAAACCAAAAGGGGATTTGCAAAAAGTGAGGGGGAAAACTTTCTCCTAATTCGCCGGTTTTTAAGTTGGAAAAATTTTAGAAGGAAAAAACACAAAAAACCCGTTTTTCCTCCGTAGTCAATTTTTAAAAGGGGCTTTTTTTGGGAATTCTTTCCAACCAATTGCCCTTCAGTTGGTCTGGGTTCCAAACCTTTTTTTTGTAAAATATTTGGGCCTTTTTTTCCCCCAAAATTTGGCACCCTTAGGTTATAATTTTGGGCCACCCCTTTCCAGGCCTGACTTCCACCCTTTTGAATTTTTCTCCAGTTTTGGGGTTTTCGACCTTTTCCCTTTGGGGTTTGCCAAAAGCTGGGTTTAAAATTTTTCAAGCCAAAAATTTTTTCCCTTCTTTAATAGGCCTCTGTTTTTTCCCCCCCAATTTTGGGTACCCTTTTATGGCTCCCCCCCAATTTGGTCGGGCCTTGTTTCTTTTTCCCTTTTCTCTTTGCCGGTTGTGGGTTTCCCTTTGGGAAACCCCTTTTACATTACCTCTCTAAAATTTCACGGCCGGTTTTTAAATTTTCCAAACCCTTTGTATCTTTCCCCTACGATCCCGAATTGATCGGCCAATTTCGGGCCCTCTTTTTAAAAAATTATTGGGGAAATTTAATTCCCCTCCCCTGAAAAATTTTCCCCAACCCCAAACCCTTTTCCCTTAAAAAACCCCTTTGTCCTTTTCTTTTCTTTTCCTCTTTTCCCCTTTAAGACCCCTCTTTACAAAAAGCGTTTGGTTCCAAATTTTTCCCGGTTCCCGTAATCCCTAGCCTTTTTTTTTTTTTTTTTTTTTTTTTCCTTTTTTTTTTTTTTTTTTTTTTCGCATTCTTTTTTCTGTGTATGTTTCCACGATCTACACAACCCTTCCATTTATGAATGGTCACCGATTTTTTTAACTTTCCCTTTATTCTTGCCCCCCCTGTTTGCTCCGTCCCCTTTCCCTTCCCCTACATTCACTCTTTGTTTTCCCCCTTTCAGTTACAAACCCTTTTATTTTTCATGTAGCATCTCCCCTTTTCCCCTAGCCCCCTGGGAATTTTCCAGCTTTTTCAGGTTTTGTTCTTTTTCACCCCCTTTGCTCAAAAAGGCTCAATGCCTACGGTGGTTTCCCGCTCTCTTTTTCTTGATAACTTCCCCCCCATTCTCATGCCCCCGGCTGTGTACACAGATGGGCCAAGTCTTTTAGACGGCGTCGGATTTTGCAGCAGTGTTTTTCCGGGCAGCGTCGGGGGGGGCTTTTTCTATCTTCAGCTAGCATTTTTACTGCGAACTGTATGCCCCTTCTTGCAGCACTTATTTGTATCGCATCTATTTTCCTGTGTCATCATTTGTTTAGTTCAACCTCCCTTAGTGCCCCTACAGCTTACAAAAATTTTATCCCTCTCATCCCCCAGTTTTCCGTATCCAACTTTGGCTACGCCGTATCTCTACCCAAAAATTAAAAATTAAATTGGGTTTTTTTTTTTGGGTCCCTGGTCATTTTTCGATTACAGGGAAAGAACACAGACACTGCTGCGCGGGGCAGCAGTCATGACCTACAATTTTTCCCTTTGAGGGGGTTCATTTTTGGCTATTTTGGGTGCAAAAAGCTACCCCCCTTCGCACCCATTTGGGACAAAACCCTTGGTTCCCAACCCCGTCGGTAAAAAACTTCTTTTTATTAAACCGATCTTTGGTTATTGGCCCCCTTCTTGTCATCAGTGGCCCAAAGGGTTTGGGGGGACCACTCCTCCCGCCCTTTGCATTGGCCCCACTCGTCTTTTCAAGGGTAATTTTCCCTGGAGAGGCACCCCCCGTTTTCCCCTCTGTGAGGGAGTGTAAGTTCCCGGGATGATTAGGGCCCCATTTTGTTAGACTTTTCCCTCTCTATCAATGAAGGGACGAGAATTTTCCTTCCCAAATCGTCTTTTGTTTTTTACTACTTCTTCTTTACCTTCCCCTTTTTGGGTGATGACCCCCCTTTAAACCCACTCTCTCATTTATTTTGACAAAGACTGATTTTTCTCCACACACTCTGATGAACTTTTTCCCCTTCCCCCCAGCCCTTTTAAATTTAGTCTCTTGGGTGCCTTTACCCTTTCAAACCCTCCCCTACCCGTGTTATCCGTAACCATTACTCCCTCCATCTCCCTTTTTCCCCCTGATGCCCTGCTTCCTTCCTACCCCCAAAACGCTGTTAGTCCCCCTTGGGGGCTTAGCGCTTTTTTTTATTATAAAAAATAATAAAAATTTTTAAGTTTTCTTGGTTTTAAAATGATGGGTTTTTTCTCTTCCTTGGGATGGTTTATTCTTTTTCAATTTTGATGTTTTGCCCCTCTGCTTCTCGTTCTCTCTTACCAAACCCGTAATTTGGCTGGCAGGTGCAAAAAATATTAAATTTACCATTTTTTTCCTTTTCCCGAAATGAAATGAAATTTTAAATTAAAAAAGCAATTTTTTTTATTGCGATGGATTTGGGAAAATTTTTAACGAGGGGAGGGAAACCAATGGATATGAAGTTTTGGGTACGTTGTCTTTAGTTTCCCCAGCTTGGTGGGAGCAAAATTTTTAAAACTTTGAGAAAAAAAAAGACTCCCAAGAAACCCGGTCCATTCTTGTAAATCCCGTTTAAAAATATCAAGAAACTGAATAAAGTAAAAACCCTTCTAGTTCATGGAGCCAAACAGTAATACTACATTAGATGGTAAAAAAAAGAAAAATTTGATGGAATATGAAAGTAACTCTGAGATGTTTCTGTTATCAACAAATAAAAACTCAGTGTGCAACGATCTCACACTTGCAAGACAAAATAAGCCAGTGTTGGGTGTTAGTTCTGTCTTAGACAAAATTAACAGTAGTGATGTAAACTGGAAATGGGTAACATAGAGATTAAAAGTGAACCACAAAAGCAAAAAACAAAGTGAATTTTTTAACCAAAAATGGTGAAAGTAAATTCTGCACAAACCAAAAGAAAGCAGAGGCTAACACGCAGGGTTTAGATTGTAAACTAAAAAATGGAAATAAGAGAAACTGCGACTCTGATGAAGTCAGATGCAAAAAGAAAAGCAAAATATATAATACATCCAATGAGAAAGCAGCATGTAACTTGTTTGATGCAACTCAGAAGTGTAATAATGACCACCAGCAGGGTATTTCTCAAACAAATACTGTATATAATACTGAAGGAGAAAAATTGGATATGGAATTAAATCACACTGATAAAAGCTTGCTTGATTATTGTAATATGACATTTAAAGAAAATTTAAGCATAAAGACTGAGGAAAGTCTATGTGATGTTTTTGATATTAAGGAAGAAATATCAGAGATGCCCGAGGATGAAAGTTTTTATGAGAAACATTCAATGTATTCCATTGATATTAAATGTGAACCATTGTTAAGTACTCCTTTGGAAAATAATTTGGAAGGAAGTAATTTAACTGCACATGGATATTCTTCATATGTTATTTCAGAATATACAGATTGTGTAGGAAGTGAAAAAATGTATGCTAAAGATGCCAGTCTTCCTGTAATATCACAAATTCAAAGTGGAAAGGAAGTTGAAAAACATTTCTCACCCCTTGAAGAACCTCTTAAACTTTGGCATACAACACCAGCTGCAAGTTCACCGATAAAAATGAAAGTAAATGAAAGCCCTTGTTTAAAAAGTGTATCTGTATCTGATCAGCAGGTGAGCAAAGTATCACTGAGGACATTTAGAAAGTTAATTGAATGTAAAGCACCTGAAAATGTTACTGTATTAGATGGACAAATTTCTAAAGTACAAAGAGAGAAAATTATGCCAAGTGGAACAGTTAGACATGCAAACATGTCAGAACAGAAATTAAAGCAAAAGGTAAGCATTCCACCATTCTATCCAAGAAAAATACCACCACTACAAACTGCACCAGGTGAAAAAATAACTGACTCCCTCAGGACATTTAGGAAAATGGCAAGGAAAATGTCAATTGAAACAGCCATTTCAAGTAGTAAGAAAGAACAAGTAACACTACAACCATCTACATCAAGTGAAGAAATAAGGAACACACTCAGGGCATTTAGAAAACTGCAAAGTGACAACAATTCACAAGAGAGAACAGGCAAAAGGGTAAATAACCTAACATTACAGCAGGAAAATGCACACGTTCAATCATTAATATCAAGTGAACAAATAAATAACTTGCTACAGAAGAGAGAGCTGCCAACCCAGCCATTGCCATCAAATGGACAAATAATTAACTTACCATTACAGCAGAAGAATATGTCAATGCACACGTCTGCATCAAATGGACACGTATTAAAAATATTAGTACATAAGAAAAATAACACGCCAAGTCAACCATTAACAAGTCAAATGGATAACCTAACATCTCAACAGATAAAAACATCTCATTTATCAAATGCAGAAACAACTAATTTTACATCACAGCAAAATAATACATCACAGCAAAATAATACACCAATTTGGCCAGCTACATTCAGTGACCGCCCAAATTTGCCACAACCCAGTAACATGTTAACCCAGCCACCAAAGATAGGTGAACAAGTAATTAAATTAACTGTGCCATGTGTATCAAGTGCACAAATAATTAATTTGCCATCAAGTGAAGATGTAACTAACTTACCTTCTCACCAAGAAAACGTACCAATTCAAGTGCCAATATCAAATGGGCAAATAAATAATTTACCTATGTGCGTAAATATATCAACCCAGTTATCAGCATTAAATGAACCAGTAATTAAATTGACATCACAGAAGACAGAAACACAAGATAACTTGATAAATAATCGACCAAGAATACCAGCTGAACTTCCAACATCAAACATGAATGGACAGATAACACTTAAAACAGGTGGGCAAGTAAATAGCCTAATATCACAGCAAAAAATGCCAACTCGACCATCTGCTTTAAGTGGACAAATTAGAAAATTAGCACAAAATTCAAAATCAAGGAGTCGGTTTACTTTTCAAATGCAACAAAGAACATCAAATGGAGAAATAAATAACTTTACCTCAGAGCAAAAAAACATATCAGTTCAAACAGCTTCAAGCGAACAAACACCTGCAAATCTAAATAGACAAATAATTCACTTGGAATTGCAAAAGGGAAATGTACTACCCCAGCAAGCAACATCGAGTGACATTAAAATACCAGCGCAGCTGTCAGAACCAAATGGAAGAATAATTAATTTAAAATTAATGCAAGGAAACTTGTCATTAATTTTACCTGAATATGAAAAGTCTAAATTTAAAGTTCAGCTGATAAATATGCAAAACATACTAACCAATCCATCAGTTCCAAACCGACTAGTAACCTCAAGCAGACAAATATTTGACTTGTCAAAGCAGAAGGACATACTAAGCCAACCATCAGTATTAAATGAACGGAGCCATAACTCACTTGAAACAATTTACAAAAAATTAAAAAAAGGAACAT